ACACGCCTCTTAAACCCAAAATATCACTATAAGACAGGACTTCCTTAATTTTCACATGTGTCGCGATACAGTGCATCAGAGCAGAAGAGAAGGAGGAAAGAAATTTCCGAGTCTGTTCTCTTGAAGAATCGACGTCTACCATTGCGCGTCCATCTTTTCACCTTTTTATAGTTTTTCATCAATAGCTTACTTCACCAATAATTTCGAAATTTGTAATGATTTTACTGTTACCTGTCCTATAATGTATGCGGACTGTTTTGGAACATAAAAGTGAAGACACAAACTACAGCGAAACAGTCTCCTCCGTGTGATAGTGTGGGACATGTATGCCACGCGGCCGTAAATGTGGTCGGTACGACATCGGAATTTCCACGCAGATTCCACATAGCTGCCTATACAGGTCTTTGTATCGAAGCACCCTAACGACGAAAATCCAAGGAATGTTATCGCGCACAATTCCTCACTTACTACCAGCCCTTTCCACATTTCTTACGCTGAAAATCTAACCAAAACACAGCCCTGTTGAGTGGAGCTGTAGGTTACAATGGTACAGTAAGACAACATCTCCGCAAAACTCACTTGGCTCGTTCCGGCTGACGTTCGACATGTAGCATTTCGGGATCAGGAGCGATATTTGTTGAGGTAATGTAAGCGGCTCCTAAACAAAGGCTGTTGCTGACAATCGCTATTTTGCATCTGTTAGAAAACAGGAAGAAAATGCTCACCTAATGTAGGGTATCTCAGCAAGCTGGATTTGAAGATGCGCCTCGGGCGTTCTAGCATAGTGCTTGAAAATTGAAAGAACGATGTTGTACCGGTCGTATATTGGAACCCGGAAAGCATTGAAGAGCTCATACTGAAAACATAAGATTCAACAGCGACCCTGCACTATAGTGAGCACCCCAATAAATGGCGCATGAAGCGAATGTAATGTATACAAAAGTTGTGAGGAGTCGGACGGAATCGAACACTACAATGTGTCCAAATAATATGGCACCGCTATTACAAGTACGGTCCGGATCGGATCTCGCTTGAACCATCAGGAAAAGGTTAGTTATAGAATCGAAAGTGTATTTATAGACACGAGACATGAAACATTTAGTCGTGATCGACACTTTTTTGACATAGTATGTCACATCTACTTCTACTTTGATATGTGATGGCACTTCAAGGCGGTTTATCTATACAACAAGATACAATAAAAATACAATAAGCGGGAGCCAGCCGATGTACGAGACAGTGTTTTCATTCTCTCAGGTCTGTCTCGTAGCAGTTAATCGAATTCAGAAGGCTTGACTGAACTCGACGGTGTATCACCCAAGATGTGATCCCCAGTGGTTGTCCGCCTTGCCACGACAACCATTCCACACTGATGGCAAGTGTATGAACGGTAGATCAAAATTTCTTCATCAGCTTTACAAGACAATTTTGGCAGCCATCCCTAACTCTGTTGAATATTAGATTCGATACCGTTAAGAAAATTGATGCACAGGGATATAAAGAAGCAGTATTCATGTCTAGGAGAAATATTTTCGAGGTTGGCATTGCATGCAATCACGCCCCACATGCTTCTAATTTTTGTTCAAAAATCACCTAAGGGAGGGCGGGTCAAGTTTGGAATGGGTAGAGTATGAGTCGCTCTCTAAGGGAATATATTGGCCATGCTAAACTCCGCCTCCAGTGGGCGGGGCGTGCGTCGAAATAAAAAATTGGTGAAAAATTGAGTTTTTGGCTTCAGAACATCCCAGATACCAGGAAAAAATAGGGCCTAGG